GGGGAAAAGTACAGCTGCTGACATGGAGATTGATTTGCTGAGAGCAAGACGGGTGCTTTCAATGTCTGTGTTGTCACGCTAAATAAAATAAACGTATGCCCATCCCACTCGCTGTCTGCACAAAAGGTGATTTTCTTCCCATACTTGGCAAGACTCAACCGGTCCTTTCAGGATGAACCAGGTCTGTTAGAACTAAATCATGCGTGGTGTAATCCCGGTTCAATCGGCTGCAGTGTAATTGTATCTGTTCAATACAACGGACGTTTGGCCTATTTTAGAATTCAATTATGGGACTCATGCACTTAACCATTTTGGAATTTCTTCTTAAAGGTGTCTTTTGAAATAGATAATAGCTTGTTTTAGCTTGGTTTTTAATTATAAATAAAAGACAAGCCCAGAATATCTTAACTTGTGGGGCATACTGTTAACACAATACTCCTTTTGTCTTGGCAAGTGCCTTTCATCAGCAGATTTCAAAGCAGCTCAAAAAGTCAATTTGAAATTATTTACTCTGAAGTTCTTTTGTCTTATTTATATACTCTGCATAAAATGAAATGTCTCTCACTGGTGATGTGTTGTAGCGCTACTGTGAAGTGCACCAACAAAACGTATTGCTGCTTTGAATAACAGGGCGTCCTGCCTGACTGGTTGTGCATGGCTGTTGTTCAGACCCCATTTATAATACAATTTGGTTTGCCCTCGAGGTCTTTCATCTTTGTAAATGAGTTATAGCTCCGTGACGCAGCTCTGAAATCGTGACAGTCCATCTGAACGGCCCTGTCGCTTTTTGGTAAGGCACAGGAAGTAAAGAAAAGGCGTAGCTGAATCTGAAGTGAAAATGTAAGCGTTTTCCAACAGGAAATTATTTTACAGAGATTATTTGAGAAGTAATTGGTTTCCTTGCCATAAATTCTAATTTAGTATTGGGGGAAAAAGTTGTACTTTTAAACTGTGCATTGCTTTGCAAGTAGAACTGAATATAGTAGAACTGTGCCTATGTAAGGAAGTGAACCCTATTGAAAACGCCTGTTTTTGTTGGCCGAATTATTTTTTTCTCTCTTTTTAAGGCTGTCACTGGGAAAATGAACTGCCCGAGTCCTGGCTCCTCACGTTTCCAACTCTTGGAACTGTGTCCTTTGCAATCAAATATTTCAAAATAGTTTCTTGATAAATGCGAGAAGTTAAATTCAGTTTGTGGACTAGAAAGGCATTACTGGATTTGGAGTGGTACTTGTGATGGTCAGACGTTAGATCATGCCTTTCTTATCTGGGGAAAAAGAGTTACTGTTAGTCATTAGTTCATGAAATTCCAGATGATCTGGGTGTTTGGGCCAGTCCTACTTCTCTTTCCTTTTTAAGATTATATTAGGTTACTGCCTTTTTGCAAAGTACCGAGGGAGATAAATGCACATCTGATACAAATATACATATACACACTCTTTGGATATATATACACACGTACATAATTAACATTATTAATCAGTGCAAAGCTGTTTTTCCATTTTCAGAAGAGGTTTTCAGCTTTCACAGTTTGTACTGTATTGTGTGAGAGCTGATTGCCATCCTCCTCTCCTTTACAGATACGTAGATGAAGTGGCTAAGCTAAGGTGTTATATCACTGCAGTCAATATTCATGTTGTTAAATGTTAAAAGTTAAGTTGCTGACTAACTTGTGTAAGTGACAGTATTCTTCCTAGTTTAAATGAGTAAAGGTTTGCATTCACAGCAGGATTTTGATGTTCATGGATGGCTGAATTCAAACTCCCCTCGAATCACTGCAGAAGTTGTGAATGGCTTCAGTCACCACGCAGTAGAACAGAAAAACTAGCGAGCAGCAGTGGCTTTTGCTGGGGTCTGGGGAACAAAATGCACAAAGTGGACAATGATCCTAAAAAGCCTCCAACTGCAGAACAGGATACACAAGTTGAGCAGTCTGAGCCTGCTTCTTCCAGCCATGTGCTGCAATTCTGGCCCATTGATTTGCTCTACAGTTATTCCAACAGGAGAAGGCTTCATAGGACTCAGGTCTGTGTTTTCAGACAGAGTTCTGATATGCTGAGATAGTTCTGCATTAGAATGTTAAGTATTTTAGATGGGATTTTAATGTATTTATAAAGAACGTTACATTTTTTTACTCCTTGTGATTTAATGTGGACAAGTTTGGTGGCATAGAGATAAGCTTGGTATTCTTGGAAGTGTTTGCATAGAGAGCTCCCTACAGTTCGTTTAAATTCCAGCCAAGGGTTTGTTTTGAGAATTAGAAATATTTTGTTTGGTTTGGTGTCTGGGAGAAGAATGTCATGTTTCATTATTCCTTACAAGCAATCTGCAAAAACAAATCAGGACTTGAGGAACTGGGACGTTTTCCTTGTGCGTGCTGGGATTTTCCTCTCACGCTTGCGCCTCTTCTTATTTACTCCTCTGCATCCAGCTTTGTGCAGCTGGTTTTGTACAGTAGATTAATAAGGGGAAAATGTCCGATCTCTCACCCGACTTGTTTTCTGCTGTCTCCGTGGTGCGGCGTGTTTTGCCGAGGTGGCAGTTCGCGTGAAGTTGTCCATCACCCGTTGCACTGCCATGTTGCTGTTGGCTGTTGCTGGTCTGACTGGTGCGGTTGTTCCCAACAGGCTGTCTCCCGGTTCCGATGTCTACGTCACCGTTTCCTCCATTGCCTTAGCAAGATCGCAACAGTGTCGTAACTCTCCGAGCAGCTTATCATCCTCGAGTGAGACTGGCTCTGCTGGGGGCACATACAGGCAAAAATCAATGCCAGAAGGGTAGGCACCAGACTTTTTTCATATTCTTTTCGGGCAGGTTTTTCGTTCCCTGTTCCATTTGTCGTAATGTATATTAAACTAAAGGAGCCTCTTGTCAGCTGTTATTTACTCGCATTAAAACACGTTTGTTTTCAAATGTCACTGTCATGCTTCTTGAAAAAGTCAGGTTTTCAAACTCCCTTGCTTCCACCTTTTCCCGTTGCAACATAACCTCTCTCCCTGATCCTAGCCCGCGGCTGCTCAGGTTGGGACCTTGATGTATTTAAAAGTCTTTGTTAAAGGTACTGGTTTCATGTTGCAAATTGCTTCGTTTCACAGGCTTAGATTCCAAGGTTAAATAAATGATAGATTTCAGACTTTGCTTCAATTATTAGCACGGTCTGCAAAGCACTTTTGAGTGCAAGTAGGACTTCAGACGTGGAGGCACGAAAGTGCTAAGTAATCTGCAGCTAGCATCCTTTTCTCATATTCAGTCATTGTGTTTTAAGGCACTCTTCCAACTTCCCAGAAATCTTCAAACTCTCTGAAGTGATCCAATGTCAATGTAAGGGGCAACTGCAGAGGAAGAAATTAAATCTGTATAATTTTCAGCAAGCACTGAAAGGAGCAATAAATCAAGCATCTCTAAGTATGGAAAAAAGTAATTGGCAGCAGGAGAGCTGTCTACCACATTCCAAATTACTTCCTATGGAGAAGATAAAGGGGCAAAACTGCTGATAGTTCACACTGCAGAGCTTCCCTCTGAAGTCGTCCTGAGGACATTGCGGGTCATTGTGTGTAATTCATTCTGGTTTGGGTCGCTTATAAAGTAGAAATGTCTTTTTTTCTGTTTTAAAAGTACATTATTAGTAAGATTAAACACCATTGTAAGGAACTTTTCAGTACAAGGCACGGTCTTTCGCCTGTTTAGGTGCCTGTAAGGGAGCACTGCTCTGTGTCTGTCCAGCGAATGCTGCTCTGAGCAGTTGTTTGGACAAGTGCTGCTCCTTGTGCCAGAGCACTGAAGATTTGTCCTCCCTGTCCTCCTTGCAGCTCGGTTTGAGGTTCTCTGAAGGGGCCATCACTTCTTTGCTGCACGCCTCCATGAAGACTTTGGTTCAGGAGACTTTCAGACCTCTTCAGGTCGTTATTTAAGTTTGTGCTGAAGTCCTACTGACATTAGGAGACTTGCTCCTAATACAAATACAGTTAAACTGAACTGTAAGGAAACTGGACAGAAGTGTTTCCAGGGCTCTGCAGCAGGAAAAAAGCACTTAACCTCTTTAAATGCTGCACGCTTCCTGGCTCATTCGTGCCAGCAGCACTTTATGTGTTGCCTTGACTTCTGAAGAGCAGCTTGTGCTCCCAATATCTTGTCTGCTCTGTTCCAACTACGGCGTTTGCTCTACAAAAAAGGCATTGCTGCCATATGTCCTCAGACCATCACAACAGAACTGCTTGAGTAGGAAGGGATTTTCAGACACGCTGGGGTGTTTTGGTTTGGATTGGCCTCGGAGCACGCCAGCACCCATCCCAACCCTTTTCCGTCTTTTAAGTTAATGACACACATGTGTTGGCTGCAGCATTCTTGGAGCATTTTGCAAGTTCAGCAGAGAGGTGTGTCCTAGAAACCTAGAAAACCTTTCTGATTTTGAAGTTTTAATTCGGTACAAGGAAACACTGCTTAAATGGAATAATGAGAGAAGTAATTAATACATGAACGTCACGTGTTCCTTATTGGATACTATTTTATAAAGAAAACTAATTTATTGAACTCCAATTATTTGACTGTTATGTTCTATTCTCGTAGGAAAAGTGCTTTGCCTCCCATACTGTCCCTGTACACATGAATCATATTTACTGGGGACTTTGCAGGCATTTTCTACCAGGCTAAATGGAAAGCATGAAGAGTGTTATAATGAAGGAGACTTTGCCTTACCTCCATGAGCAAAGTAATGTCTGTCACATTACTAAAAACCATTGAGATTCATCTGAGAGACCAGGTTCAAGGCAGCTCTCTAGTGATGTTCGATGTGGTAGGCAGATTAACCTATAGATGTTGTTAAAATAGGGAGGAGATGTTATAGTTGCTAATATATTGAAGGGGACGATGGGCTGGAGCAGGGTCCCTGGCTGAGAGGGCCCCATGTCCTGAAGGTGATCTTCCTGAGGTGAGGCTCCAGTGTGCTCTGGGTGTGCCAGGCCCTGAGATTTCCCTGTGCAGGAAATCTCAACTGCATAATCTGTGTATACGCTTCTTTCCTGCTGCGCGATGTGACAGATTGGGAAAGCTTGTGAAACTTAAATGGCTGGAAGCATGGGTGTGAGTCCAACCTCTGTCAGACATCGGTAAGAGCAGTGACTGCTGCCTCCTCGGGATTATTGGTCCGTGGGTATAGGCAAAAACGTCACTGCCTTCAAGAATACCCACATTGATCTTGATGTGTATGTGTGTTTCATGTACTTACCCTGCGTTTACCTGAAGGTACGTGTATGTAATAAACCATTGTAGAATGTAAACACGTAATTAAAAACTACCAAAATGAGTTTCCGCTTATGACATAGAGATAAAATGTGTATTTAAACAATTTCACTGTTCTTTAGATCCAGATCGATTTCTCCTTTGAGTCTCTTTTGAGTTCATTCCTACACACCCCAATGGGCTGTATATTTAAGCAGCACAGAATATAGCACCACCTGCAATTTATTATTCCTGCTTTTAAATAACCCACTTCACGTGAAAAAGGCAATCTAAAGATTTCTTGCTGCTCAATTAGTAGAGCACTGATTTTTAATGAAATAAAATTAGAAACGTGGTGGGTTTTTTTATATCTCTTACCTTGAAATTAAGACATTCCCACGTGATAAAATACGCCAAATGCAAAGTTGACTGCCTTTATACATATGAACGTTACGGGGTTTAGATAAGAGAATAACGCATAGAAAATAAAATACTGGTGCAGCGCAACTCCATCGCACCAAGGTTTCTTGGGGTTTTGGGGTTTTTCTTTTTGATACCAACTTCTTGTTATTTTCTTATGAAAACAGATTATTCCCAAAATGCTTTACAAGTCTTAAAGGTTTGAAAATTACATCAGATCGGTATTTAAATAATCAGCGTTTGAAATGTTGTGTTTATAGAGTTTTTATGCACCTGTTGAGCTGGTGTTGAGTTCATCATGTTTAATTTAGACATCTGATTAAGTGAAATCCCAGCTACAGTCTGTGTGAATAGAAAAGCAAAAGCATTAGTCCCTTAATGTAATTTCAGTTTAAGTTGTTTGTGTTCGGAGGGCAGATATATCGAGGTCATCGTCACTGTTTTTTGTTCATCAGACCACGTTGGCCGCACCAAGGAGCGGTGAACAAAAGGAAAGTCATGTTAGGATAAAAATGTTGAGGCCCAGATTTCAAAAGAGGATGTTCTGAAGCTGTGCTGCACGCACAGGCGTGTTCCAGCTGCTTTTCTTTAAGGATAAGAGTGGGATTTTGTTGGTTTGAAATGTATATTTCCTTGGTGGGTTCATTTCAGTTAACAAGTACGTGAACTTTCAAATGAGAGAACCACACTGAGCTTGTTCTGAAGCTGGGCAGATACCTGTTTTACACTGGAGAAACTCCCTGAAATATTGAGAATGTATCTGCTTGTTGTAATCCTTTTTGGGTGTTACTCTGCGCATGCAGAGTTTTGGGATTGTTTTTCCCTCAGGTCATACCCAATTAAAACAAAACCTCATCAGCAATGTGTTATTCTCGACAAATTCTTAATGAGTGGTCTGCTAATTCTGAACGAAACTGTAGTTCTGACAGACTTGTGATCTATATGTAATACAGAATGACAGATTTAATCCTTACAGGCTTTTAGGCATATGAGGCATTGGTGTGGCACAGAGGCGCTGCGTCTCCTTTATTAGATGGTTCTCCTTGAGTTTGCTGTGTTGTTATTGAAGTAACTTATGAATAACTTGCTGTGTAAGTTACTGAACTTTCTGGAATCCACTTGACTAATCTAGCAGGATTTAAGAAGTGCATTGAACAGTTTTCCTCTTGCTCTGTGTGCTCTCTTCTACGGCAATAGATACAGATGTCTCCCTGCTTTCCTGCAGCTGTATTCAGTAGTTCACTCAAATTATTTTATGATCAAATAGTTTATAGAATTAATAACCCTCGGGTTTTGGGAAGCCATGACCAATACAGTCAACTTTATAAATGCTTAATTAAAATATTTGGCAGTGTAATCTTGTCCCAAATGAATCGATGTTGCTTGCATGGATGTCTGCATCACCTCGGTGTGACCTTACTGGTCTTTTGCTTAGAACCCAGGAAAGTGGCTGGGATCTGTGGGATTGTCCCAACAAAGTGATGCTCACTTTGATTAGTTCGAGGTAGTGCTTTCCCAGTTAAAGGGATCCATCCTTGATACCTTTTCCTGACCTACACACCTCGCGGCTTTTATCCAAACTCAAGTTTTACTCATTGTGGTCAATTTTCTGTAACCGTGTAAGGTCTGGTCACCTTTCCATGTAAACATTTTCTGTCAATGAAAACGAATCATTTTATTTCTGGATGTTTTGCTCTGTTTTGTTTAATTGCACGCACTGTAACCAGATGTTCTTGATCAAAGATGCTCAATAAATGAACGTGTGCTGTAATCGTAAGCGTTAGAGCTAAATGGCTCCTGAGAGCTGCAAATGGAAAAGCATTAGAAATATCTTAAGTGGTTGTGCTATGCATTGCTCTGCCCTGTTTTTGACACTAACTTCTTAAAAGTGCTTTTTTTCCCCCTTATGTAAGATTGATGCCTATTTAAAATAATCATCTGCTTTGTTTTTTGGGGTGTTACAACAGGTTTGGAATTAGCCGTAGATCCCCTGCTTCCATTGACAGGCAGAACACGCAATCAGACACGGGTGGTAGCGGCAAATCCACACCCAGCTGGCAAAGAAGTGAGGATAGTATTGCTGACCAGATGGGTAGGTAATTAATTCCTTATAATCAGCAAGTGCTGCTAACCACAGGGTGACTTTGGCAATAGCTCTCCTCGCAGAGAGAGGAAACCCTCTTAAGAACTGTGTTTTCAGTGTCTTTGAAAGTTAACCTTGTTCATCAGGATGAGTAATTAGATCTGGAGCATGTACCTAGCTCCTGCAGCCTGCTTCTGTAAGGCCTGTGAGTATCACCTGACAGAGAACTGATTTCAGTTCTTCATTTGATTGTTGGACTAAATCTACCTTAACGCTCTTACCCTGCAACACTCTGTCCTTTTAGAAGCGGTTGGGTAGGCACACTTACTAATTTGTCTTGCCATTGAGGACATTTTTGACCTCACCTGCTCTCCCGGGTGGCTTGGCTTAGTTGAATTCTTGCTTAGTTTGTCTGAAGTGCTTAGGATGCTCCCTTTCAGATGGTGCTGTGCAAACGCAAACTAATTGTTTGATCACTGAGGCTATAAAAATACCATGTCCAAAATGGAAAAAGTGCAATTGAAGTTTAAACAGTGAAGTAAATCTGTAGCTTGGTAATCGCCTTCCACCCGTGTATACGTTTTCGTTGCACTTGGCAATTAAGCTGTCAGCTGAGGGAGCACATTAACTCCATAAAACAGCTGGCTACTGCAGAATTTGCACTGTTAAGCCTTCATCTGGAGTTTTTACACATAGACCTTTGGCTGCAGCTATGGCTTGACTTGAGTGGGTGCCAGTGAGACTGACACCAATGGAATTGTCCTGCCTACATGCAGCATTGTTGCAACATGGTGACGGTGGTCAAGATTGCTAAACCGTGGGTTTTGTCATGTTTTTTTTTAAATCTTTTATTACCATGGATTAAACAATTCCATACTTTTACTATTGCACATACAGATAATAATTTGACTGCCTCACAGCTTTTGTTCCTTATAATGGATTAGTTAACACGTACAAATGGATTCTGCTAACGCAGAATAAGGTGCAGGGAGCTCAGGAGGAGTTTAAGGCAAACACCAACATCAAGTTCTGGAGATGTGCTTTGTTCACATACCTTCACAGCCCCAGCGCGCTGTGCCTCGCTGCTGAAGCCATCTGGCAGTCCCACCCTCACAGCTCCCCCTGTACTTCTCACTAAAAAGCTGTGATGCTGATCTGCAGTTCTTATTTTGACAGGAGGATTTTTAATCACATATGTTTTGATACTGTCTGATGGTAATGACACACGCAGAACTGATCTCTTCCTCAGCATTACTTTTGAAGACCAACAGTCGGGTGTTGGCGCTGGCACTGAGTTGGGGTCTGTTCTGCAATGTCAGGTGTCACCATATTAGTAAAATAAATAAATAAGGCCAAAAAGAACAGGAAAAAATGTTTGGCAGAAGAGGTAGCTCCGGCATTTGGCAAAGGCTAAGAAATGCATACTGATTTATAATCCCTGTGTTTCATCTCTTGTGTATTGTCCTGCATTCATAGAGTCACAGTTGGAAGCTGCATCTGACTGGAGGCTTTATTGCCAGTCTGGTGAATCTAGGTGACAGTTTGGTTCTATGACAAATAAACACACTTCCACTTGGGATAATCTATCTCAAGGTAAATAAGACATTAGGTGCAGTGAATCCACACACTCACTCCTCCTAGGCCTATTCTTACCTACAGAAGACCTTAGTTCTTTGTGCACCAACACTGCTTGCTACCACTTGCCAGGGGAATAAAGTTTGATTTATTTTTTTTTAAATGTTATTTCTGTTTATAATGTTAGGGGTTTTTTCTCATTTGTTTTTAAGTAAGCTAGTCATGCTGCAGATGAAGATGAACAAACCGTAGCCGTGTTGGGGAAAGCACTGTTCATTACCATGGGTGCTGTGAAATACTTGGTGTTTGTAAGCGCATATTCTACTTAAACCCACCATTTTTAAAAGTGCAGAATATTGCAGAGAAGATCCATGTGAAAAACCACAACTGAGGGATTCTTTTAAAATGCTGAGCTTGGGCAATCACCTGATGGGCTGTGTCTGAACACTGCCTAGTCCTCCATAGTTATCACCTGGGAAAGAATAAGTTCAGTTGTGAAAGAGCACCCCTGTGACTGTCCACATAAGATGAGAGATTTGAATCCCATCCATTTGTGTCAGGTTTTGTTTAATAAGTATTCCCTTTGTACATCTGTGCAGTTTGCACATTCCCATCAGTTTTTAAGGGGATATTGTGATTTCAACAGGTCTTTGCTATCTCACCAGAAACGTGTGTTGTAGCTGTACTGGAGAAAATGTGTTCATTTCAGTGACCACTGTAGACTTTTGCTGTTGTCCTGCCTTGCGTAGAATACAATTTAAGGAACTGTAGATCCTTCAGGTTGTTTAATTTCTTGTCCACGGGCAATGTGCATATAGAGATACAATGTCAATACACTGTGCAAATGAATACTCAGCTGGTTTAGTGCTCAGATATAATGCTGTTGCACAATGGGGGCACGATGCCATCCGGGCTGTTCTAACAGAAGCCAGGATGGCGGCTGCTGGTTTTTCATGAAGTCTCACTGATTTACGCCAGGCAGGAACGGGCCCTCACTTCCTCACTCGTGGTTTGTCACAATGTGTATATTTTTTATTTGGAATGAATTCATACGAGGTGCCCAGTGTTGAAAATGGGACAAATGGCAGCGTCCAATTAGGTTACGCGTTGTCTTAGCTTGTTGCTCTGCGTGTGCTCCTCGGTACATCGCTGTGTGCTGTATTGCAGAACCAACGTGCCACCTCCCAGCAGTGTCTAAAGTACTGCCGTCCTTCAGAGAAAGCCCCAGTGGAAGACTGATGAGGCAGGATCCTGTGGTTCACTTGTCTCCGAATAAGCAGGGTCATGTAAGTTATCCTAAAAAAGGAATTATTCTTTATTGCGATAATTAAACATTATTTAATTGTTTGCTCCACAAGCTCTTGATAACCAAAAGGGTTGTTCAGAGTTACAGAGTGTCAGTTAAAAAAAAAGAAAGGGTCAAAAAGAAATCCTCAAGGCCTGTTCTTTACCGGGACGTGGAGGAAGCAGAAGAGCAGAGCTGGTGTTTCCCAGGTCCTGCAGAAGCAAAGCAGAACCTACTGAAATACTGCTCAGCTCACACAGTTTTGTTGCCAGTTGAACAGCAACTTCTTGTCTGTTATCTTGTGATAAGTAGAGGATTTGTGGGAGTTTACAAACCTATTCCTACGCCTCACGTGTGAGACTTGAAGTTTACTAATATATTTTATAATGCAACATGTGGAAAGCTGCTTCTCTAGAACAGGATGGTGATCTTGCTTTTGCGTTTGTATTTTCCCCATTTTCCTCATCTAGCATAACTATAACTGCCTTTCCACAACCCACCCTGTTGTACACTGTTAAAAAGACTCTGTCCCAGAGGCCTGCTGGCATCTTTAAAAAAATCTCTTGTTTTACTCATGTTTAAGGCCTAAATGGTGAATTCTGCCTTTCTGCCTTCACAGTTTGCTATACACACCTTTCTGGAGGCTGTCACAGAGATTTACACAGAGAGAAATGCAGTAATGTTCACAAATTTAAAATGTCTTGAAACTTAAGTCACTAGAAAAAAAAAATACCCCAAACGCCTTTAAAACTTCAAATTACCCAATGAGCTGTATCGCTTGGTTTTTTATTTACTTGTATGAGCAGCTGAAATACAGAGTTGTGTGATTATACTGCAAGTATGAGTTGCTTTTATGTAGGTGTGAGGGTCTTTAATTGGTTCCCGTTACTGAATGCTTACCAGCATTCTTCTTTCAATACAATTGGCGGTGTTGCTCTCAAGTTCATTCACAACAATACATCTTTATTATTTAAAGAAAAGAAACCCACAACATGAAAAGAAACCACCACCACCACCCCTATCTTCATTCTTAGGAGCACAAACTAGTTCTTCTATTTAGATTGACCCATTTTTCATGAGATGTATTTGACTGTGTAATGGTGTAACACATAGCTCATTAGCCTGCCTGCACAGTGCAGCCCTGGAATTATTAATGCTTGCATTCTTCTCCTTTAGTCACTTGTTAAAGCAAATGTGTTATTATGTGGATGGATGGGGGGTGTGATACAGTTCCTAATGAAGAGCACTTTAATTGGAAATAACCAGGAGTCCAGGTCAACTTAATATTCCTGTTTTTCTGTCAATTCTTGCTTTGGCATAATAAGAAATGTGGATGCTGATATTTCCTCCTCTCGGTATACACCCATTCTCTATTTTCCCTCTTTTTCCAATGAAAACAGAACAGTATCTAATTTCTTATCTTTGGCTAGGATCTCTGCCCGTGCCTGTCTGATAAAACTCCATGGGTAGAGGGACGGGAAAGGTGGTTCAAAGTCTCCTTTCCATCCCTTCCCTTATTCCTAGGCCATCCTGTCACCAAATGGGTCCGTTGCCTACTGGAAAACTGCTTCTGTGTGGTTATATAGGTAAATTCTGTAGATGGAAACCAAAATTCAGGAGTTCAGATGGGTATAAATACCACAAAGGCAAATGAACTACTAAGGGGTGAGGAGTGTATGGCAAGAAGTTCTTCCTGTAATGGGATATTCCAGCAGTGCCCACCGTGGAATTGTGACCAGGACAGGGAGTACAGACCAGCCGGACACTGGCATGCCCTGATGGGACAACTTAAGAGCATTGCATTAAAGCTTCCTTCCTTGCAATTCTGCCTTTTGGAAAACAATTTTAGATGAGTTCAATGGCATTTCAGTGGTCATTTGCCAAGGAGGACACTCCTGCTGAGGAGGAAATGTTCCCTCCTACAGAGGGTTAGGCAAAGCAGTGGTTTTCTTGCCCTACTATAACCTTTTAATGGGCAATTGGTTTACTAAAATAGCAAGTGCACTTTTCTGTGGATGGGTTATGTTTCATGTTCGAAAACATTGGAGTCTTAGAATATTTTTTATTACAGTAGTTATAAACCAAGTCAGAGTCTACACGGCTCAGCCAATTTGACTGGATGGGGCCGAGCAGAACTGTGCTTGAAAGGAAACAGAGTGAAGTGTTTTTGGGGCAAAATATGAGCAACTCTAGCTTTCCCTGAACAGTTAAGACATGGCTTCCAAATCCATGTGAAAGCTTTTTATGTGCGCCCAGAACAGAGCACGTTCATTGTGTTGGGATTAAAATTTGAGACTTTCTTCTTCTCCTCATTGTACCTATCCAGTACCTTAAGGTAGAAGAGCACACACTGTGCAGTGGTCAATCATTTCCTTCTCCTCTTTATTGCCATAATTCTGAAATAAACCTAAAAGTGTGGGGTTTTTTTGCTTGCTGTTTCTCCTTCAGTCTGACAGCCACTACTCCAGCCATTCCAGCAGCAATACTCTCTCCAGCAATGCCTCCAGTGCTCACAGCGATGAGAAGTGGTATGACAGCGGAGAGCGCACCGAGTCGGAGCTGAACAGCTACAACTACCTTCAGGGGACATCAGCTGATAGCGGCATAGATACCACCTCCTACGGGCCGAGCCACGGCAGCACCGCCTCCCTGGGGGCAGCAACGTCTCCCCGCACGGGGCTGACGAAGGAGAAGGTGGCACCGCTGTGGCACAGCTCCAGCGAAGTGGTGTCCATTGCGGACAGGACATTGGAGAAGGAGAGCCACATGGACCGAAAGACCGAGTCTTCACTGAGCCTGGACATTCACAGCAAGAGTCAACCAGCCTCCAATCCTCTGACGAGGGAGAACAGCGCTTACAGTCTTAGCGATGCTGTCTCACATACAAGGTAATTCTCACCTCTTAGGAGGTTGACCCCTCCACACTCATCTTCCCATTCTCACTGTTCAACCTATCGAAAGTGAGAAGTGGATGTTGAAGAGGGGTCTCTACTTAGGTTAACCACTGTTTTTTTACTGAGCAGAGTGCTTGAAAATTAAAACTGCCTTTAGTCTTCACATCTGCTACTGCTTATAACACTACAGAATGTTTCTGAGAGCATATTCCATACTGCTGCTGCTAAACTAAGACAGACACGTGTCTGATGTGTTCATAAGGAATATCTTGCAAGAACTGCAATTCATAGACGTATCAGAAAGGAGATCAGTCCACTTCTTAATATTTAATATAAGTGTTCATCAATGTGAGGTTCTTTTTTAGTCTAGCAAGTTCACGTTGAGGATGCTTTGCATTTTTTTCTCCCAGTCTTTTTGTTTAGAAATTTTCTTGCAGTCGGTATGACCAAGACTGAGTAAGCTCCTCGGGAGTGCTGTCGTGTAGATTTTGTTCTCATTCTGCCGCAAGCCTGTGGGTATGACACATTACAGTCACCTTCCCTCTCTCCCTCCGTTTTCCCACTTGTAAAATTGGCAATATCAAGTATGTGTATAATGTGCTTGAACACCTCAGATGGAAGATACCCGCTTTACAAGTTAATCAGAGCTGCTAGAGGCAGAAAATACTTGACACCATTATCCTAACCCATTTCCCAAAAACTGTTCAGTGCGCTTTTTGAAAAATACTCATCTGTGTCGTACCAGAAGCAAGAAAAAAAGCCACAGCTCTTTCAAGGAGGATCACAGAATCCCAGACTGTTAGGGATTGGA